GGAGAATGGGGCGGGGTGATGGAAGGAGGGAGAATGGGGAGGGGTGATGGAAAAGCGGGGGAACGGGGGCCGGGATGATGGGAAGCGGAAGAATGGGGGGGGGGCGGGTGATGGAAAGCGGGAGAATGGGGCAGGGTGATGGAAAGCGGGAGAATGGGGCGGGGAGATGGAAAGCGGGAGAATGGGACGGGGTGATGGAAGGAGGGAGATTGGGGCGGGGTGATGGAAGCAAGGAGAATGGGGAGAGGTGATGGAAAACGGGAAAATGGGGCGGGGTGATGGAATGCGGGAGAATGGGGCGGGGTGATGGAAAGCGGGAGAAGGGGGCAGGTTGATGGAAAGCGGGAGAATGGGGTGGGGTGATGGAAAGCGGGAGAATGGGGCGGGGTGATGGAAAGCGGGAGAATGGGGCGGGCTGATGGAAAGCGGGAGAATGGGGCGGGGTGATGGAAGGAGGGAGAATGGGGCGGGGTGATGGAAGGAGGGAGAATGGGGCGGGGTGAAGTGGGAGAAAGTGGCGGGGTGATGGAAAGCGGGAGATGGGGCTGGGGTTATGGGAAGCGGAGAATGGGGCGGGGTGATGGAAGGAGGGAGAATGGGGCGGGGTGATGGAAAGAGGGAGAATGGGGCGGGGTGATGGAAAGCGGGAGAATGGGGCGGGGTGATGGAAAGCGGGAGAATTGGGCGGGGTGATGGAAAGCGGGAGAACGGGGCGGGGTGATGGAAAGCGGGAGAATGGGGCGGGGTGATGGAAAGCGGGGGAATGGGGCGGGGTGATGGAAAGCGGGAGAATGGGGCGGGGTGATGGAAAGCGGGAGAATGGGGCGGAGTGATGGAAAGCGGGAGAATGGGGCGAGGTGATGGAAGGAGGGAGAATGGGGCGGGGTGATAGAAGGTGGGAGGATGGGGTGGGGTGATGGAAAGCGGGAGAATGGGGCGGGGTGATGGAAAGCGGGAGGATGGGGCGGGGTGGTGGAAAGCAGGAGAATGGGGCGGGGTGATGGAAAGCAGGAGAATGGGGCGGGGTGATGGAAAACGGGAAAATGGGGCGGGGTGATGGAAAGCGGGAGAATGGGGCAGGGTGATGGAAGGAAGGAGAATGGGCCGAGGTGATGGAAGGAGGGAGAATGGGGTGGGGTGATGGAAAGAGGGAGATTGGGGCGGGGTGATGGAAAGCGGGAGAATGGGGCGGGGTGATGGAAAGCGGGAGAATGGGGCAGGGTGATGGAAAGCGGGAGAATGGGGCGGGTTGATGGAAAGCGGGAGAATGGGGCGGGGTGATGGAAAGCGGGAGAATGGGGCGGGGTGAAGGAAAGCGGGAGAATGGGGCGGGATGATGGAAAGCGGGAGAATGGGGCGGAGTGATGGAACGCGGGAGAATGTGGCGGGGTGATGGAACCCAGGAGAATGGGGCGGGGTGATGGAAGGAGGGAGAATGGGGCGGGGTGATGGAAGGAGGGAGAATGGGGCGGGGTGATGGAAGGTGGGAGGATGGGGCGGGGTGATGGAAAGCGGGAGAATGGGGCGGGGTGATGGAAAGCGGGAGAATGGGGCGGGGTGGTGGAAAGCGGGAGAATTTGGCGGGGTGATGGAAGCAAGGGAAATGGGGCGGGGTGATGTAAGGGTGGAGAATGGGGCGGGGTGATAGAAGGAGGGAGAATGGAGCGGGGTGATGGAAGGAGGGAGAATGGGGCGGGGTGATGGAAAGCGGGAGAATGGGGCGGGGTGATGGAAAGCGGGAGAATGGGGTGGGGTGATGGAAAGCGGGAGAATGGGGCGGGGTGATGGAAAGCGGGAGAATGGGGCGGGATGATGGAAAGCGGGAGAATGGGACGGGTTGATGGAAAGCGGGAGAATGGGGCGGGGTGATGGAAAGCGGGAGAATGGGGCGCGGTGATGGAAAGCGGGAGAATGGGGCGGGGTAATGGAAAGCGGGAGAATGGGGCGGGGTGATGGAAGGGAGGAGAATGGGGCAGGGTGATGGAAAGCGGGAGAATGGGTTGGGGTGATGGAAAGCGGGAGAATGGGGCGGGATGATGGAAAGCGGGAGAATGGGCCGGGGTGATGGAAAGCGGACGAATGGGGCGGGGTGATGGAAGGCGGGAGAATGGTGCGGGGTGATGGAAGGAGGGAAAATGAAGCGGGGTGATGGAAGGAGGGAGAATGGGGCGGGGTGATGGAAAGCGGGAGAATGGGGCGGGGTGATAGAAAGCGGGAGAATGGGGCGGGGTGATGGATTGCGGGAGAATGGGGGCGGGGTCATGGAAAGCGGGAGAATGGGGCGGGGTGATGGAAGGAGGGAGATTGGGGCGGGGTGATGGAAAGCGGGAGAATGGGGCGGGGTGATGGAAAGCGGGAGAATGGGGCGGGGTGATGGAAAGCGGGAGTATGGGGCGGGGTGATGGAAAGCGGGAGAATGAGGCGTGGTGATGGAAAGCGGGAGAATGGGGCAGGTTGATGGAAAGCGGGAGAATGGGGCGGGGTGATGGAAGGAGGGAGAATGGGGTGGGGTGATGGAAGGAGGGAGAATGGGGCGGGTGATGGAAGGAGGGAGAATGGGGCGGGGTGATGGAAAGTGGGAGAATGTGGCGGGGTGATGGAAAGTAGGAGAATGGGGCGGGGTTATGGAAAGCGGGAGAATGGGGCGGGGTGATGGAATGCGGGAGAATGGGGCGGGGTGATGGAAAGCGGGAGAATGGGGCGGGGTGATGGAAAGCAGGAGAATGGGGCGGGGTGATGGGAAGCGGGAGAATGGGGCGGGGTGATGGAAAGCGGGAGAATGGGGCGGGGTGATGGAAGGAGGGAGAATGAGGCGGGGTGATGGAAGGAGGGAGAATGGGGCGGGGTGATGGAAAGCGGGAGAATGGGGCGGGGTAATGGAAAGCGGGAGAATGGGGTGGAGTGATGGAAAGCGGGAGAATGGGGCGGGGTGATGGAAAGCAGGAGAATGGGGCGGGGTGATGGAAAGCAGGAGAATGGGGCGGGGTGATGGAGCTCTGCCGCCCGCAAGTCGAAACCTGCGCGAAGGGACAAATTTGGGTTTTAAACTGAAATGATTTACTGATAGCAGAGCTTAGCCAAACAACACCAGACATGCGCAACTCACAAAGTGTTCTAGATTCTCACCGGGCAGACAGTTGTTGAACAGCTGAGAGTTTTGCCGAAGCCACATGAGGCAGCGCCGCTCGCGTGTGTCGAGGTTGGGGGGCCACGATTCCACCTTGAACAGCCTCGTCCCGCCCATGCGACGAAGATCCGCCATCCGCTCGGTGAGATTGTGGACGGTCTGCTTGGCGAATGCCTTGCACATCTTCTCGCAGTCGCGCATTGTTCCACCGTACTTGTGGCCAGCGATGGGCTCCTCACTTAGAACAATCTCCTGGCTCACTGCGCGGCCGTTGGAGTCCACGCCCTCCACTTTCACCTCACGCTTGCCATCCTTGTGGCGCTCCAGGAAAGGCGACAGCTGTGGGCTAAGGCCCTCCCCGAACTTCGTCTCATAGTCGATGTAGCGATGCTGGATGTACGACACCGTGCGGTCCACCTCCTGCGCCACGATTGTGACGTCCACGTGGGCGGAGGGCGGGAGGGTTTGAGATAATACAGCCAAACATAATAAGTTCACATTACAGAGTAAACAAATGTGTAATCCACCATGCAGAAGTGGGAAACAACGTCGACATAATACTGCATAACAGTACCTTTCGCCTCTGGAAAAAGCGGCTCAGATTGTTGAGCTCGGCCAAGATGTCTGCCAGAAAATAAAGGCAAAAGTGAAACTTCAACGTCTGCACGGTGCTGGCTATCTTGTGCTCGTACTCGATGAAGATGCAGATCGCCGCCCCAAGAACCCGGCACATCCGCAGCACCGCCTCGCCCTGTGCCAGCCAGCGCACGTTGTGGAGCCCCTGGTGCTCCTGATTGGTCTTGTGGTACAAATGTTTGCAAGAACAAGGGCCTACCGTGTGCAAAATTGCAAGAACAAGGGCCTACCTTGTTCTTGGAAGGAAGGAGAATGGGGCGGGGTGATGGAAGGAGGGAGAATGGGGCGGGGTGATGGAAAGAGGGAGAATGGGGCGGGGTGATGGAAAGCGGGAGAATGGGGCGGGGTGATGGAAAGCGGGAGAATGGGGCGGGGTGATGGAAAGCGGGAGAATGGGGCAGGGTGATGGAAAGCGGGAGAATGGGGTGGGGTGTTGGAAAGCGGGAGAATGGGGCGGGGTGATGAAAAGCGGGAGGATGGGTCGGGGTGATGGAAAGCGGGAGAACGGGGCGGGGTGATGGAAAGCGGGAGAATGGGGCGGGTGATGGAATGCGGGTGAATGGGGCGGGGTGATGGAAAGCGGGAGAATGGGGCGGGGTGATGGAAAGCAGAAGAATGGGGCGGGGTGATGGAAAGCGGGAGAATGGGGCGAGGTGATGGAAAGCGGGAGAATGGGGCGGGTGATGGAAAGCGGGAGAATGGGGCGGGGTGATGGAAGGAGGGAGAATGGGGAGGGGTGATGGAAAGCGGGGGAATGGGGCGGGATGATGGGAAGCGGGAGTATGGGGCGGGGTGATGGAAAGCGGGAGAATGGGGCGGGGTGATGGAAAGCGGGAGAATGGGGCGGGGTGATGGAAAGCGGGAGAATTGGGCGGGGTGATGGAAAGTGGGAGAATGGGGCGGGGTAATGGAAAGAAGGAGAATAGGGCGGGGAAATGGAAAGTGGGAGAATGGGGCAGGGTGATGGAAAGCGGGAGAACGGGGCGCGGTGATGGAAGGAGGGAGAATGGGGCGGGGTGATGGAAGGAAGGAGGGCGGGGTGATGGGAAGGAGAATGGGCGGGGTGATGGAAGGAGGGAGAATGGGTCGGGGTGATGGAAAGCGGGAGAATGGGGCGGGGTGATGAAAAGCGGGAGAATGGGGCGGGGTGATGGAAAGCGGGAGAATGGGGCGGGGTGATGGAAGGAGGGAGAATGGGGCGGGGTGATGGAAAGCGGGAGAATAGAGAAGGGTGATATTAGCGGGAGAATGGGGCGGGGTGATAGAAAGTGGGAGAATGGGGCGGGGTGATGGAAGGAGGGAGAATGGGGCGGGGTGATGGAAAGCGGGAGAATAGGGCGGTGTGATGGAAAGCGGGAGAATGGGGCGGTGTGATGGAAAGCGGGAGAATGGGGCGTGGTGATGGAAAGCGGGAGAATGGGGCGGGGTGATGGAAAGCGGGAGAATGGGGCGGGGTGATGGAAAGCAGGAGAATGGGGCGGGGTGATGGAAAGCGGGAGAATGGGGTGGGCCGATGGAAAGCGGGAGAATGGGGCGGGGTGATGGAAGGAGGGAGAATGGGGCGGGGTGATGGAAGGAGGGAGAATGGGGCGGGTGATGAAAGGAGGGAGAATGGGGCGGGGTTATGGAAAGCGGGAGAATGGGGCGGGGTGATGGAAAGCGGGAGAATGGGGCGGGGTGATGGAAGGAGGGAGAATGGGGCGGGGTGATGGAAAGCAAGAGATTGGGGCAGGGTGATGGAAAGCGGGAGAATGGGGCGGGGTGATGGAAAGCAGGAAAATGGGGCGGGGTGATGGAAAGCGGGAGAATGGGGCTGGGTGATGGAAAGCAGGAGAATGGGGCGGGGTGATGGAAAGCGGGAGAATGGGGAGGGGTGATGGAAGGAGGGAGAATGAGGCGGGGTGATGGAAGGAGGGAGAATGGGGCGGGGTGATGGAAAGCGGGAGAATGGGGCGGGGTGATGGAAAGCGGGAGAATGGGGCGGAGTGATGGAAAGCGGGAGAATGGGGCGGGGTGATGGAAAGCGGGAGAATGGGGCGAGGTGATGGAAAGCGGGAGAATGGGGCTGGGTGTTGGAAAGCGGGAGAATGGGGCGGGGTGATGAAAAGCGGGAGGATGGGTCGGGGTGATGGAAAGCGGGAGAACGGGGCGGGGTGATGGAAAGCGGGAGAATGGGGCGGGTGATGGAATGCGGGTGAATGGGGCGGGGTGATGGAAAGCGGGAGAATGGGGCAGGGTGATGGAAAGCAGAAGAATGGGGCGGGGTGATGGAAAGCGGGAGAATGGGGCGAGGTGATGGAAAGCGGGAGAATGGGGCGGGTGATGGAAAGCGGGAGAATGGGGCGGGCTGATGGAAGGAGGGAGAATGGGGCGGGGTGATGGAAAGCGGGGGAATGGGGCGGGATGATGGGAAGCGGGAGAATGGGGCGGGGTGATGGAAAGCGGGAGAATGGGGCGGTGTGATGGAAAGCGGGAGAATGGGGCGGTGTGATGGAAAGCGGGAGAATGGGGCGTGGTGATGGAAAGCGTCAGAATGGGGCGGGGTGATGGAAAGCGGGAGAATGGGGCGGGGTGATGGAAAGCAGGAGAATGGGGCGGGGTGATGGAAAGCGGGAGAATGGGGTGGGCCGATGGAAAGCGGGAGAATGGGGCGGGGTGATGGAAGGAGGGAGAATGGGGCGGGGTGATGGAAGGAGGGAGAATGGGGCGGGTGATGAAAGGAGGGAGAATGGGGCGGGGTTATGGAAAGCGGGAGAATGGGGCGGGGTGATGGAAAGCGGGAGAATGGGGCGGGGTGATGGAAGGAGGGAGAATGGGGCGGGGTGATGGAAAGCAAGAGATTGGGGCAGGGTGATGGAAAGCGGGAGAATGGGGCGGGGTGATGGAAAGCAGGAAAATGGGGCGGGGTGATGGAAAGCGGGAGAATGGGGCTGCGTGATGGAAAGCAGGAGAATGGGGCGGGGTGATGGAAAGCGGGAGAATGGGGAGGGGTGATGGAAGGAGGGAGAATGAGGCGGGGTGATGGAAGGAGGGAGAATGGGGCGGGGTGATGGAAAGCGGGAGAATGGGGCGGGGTGATGGAAAGCGGGAGAATGGGGCGGAGTGATGGAAAGCGGGAGAATGGGGCGGGGTGATGGAAAGCGGGAGAATGGGGCGAGGTGATGGAAAGCGGGAGAATGGGGCTGGGTGTTGGAAAGCGGGAGAATGGGGCGGGGTGATGAAAAGCGGGAGGATGGGTCGGGGTGATGGAAAGCGGGAGAACGGGGCGGGGTGATGGAAAGCGGGAGAATGGGGCGGGTGATGGAATGCGGGTGAATGGGGCGGGGTGATGGAAAGCGGGAGAATGGGGCAGGGTGATGGAAAGCAGAAGAATGGGGCGGGGTGATGGAAAGCGGGAGAATGGGGCGAGGTGATGGAAAGCAGGAGAATGGGGCGGGTGATGGAAAGCGGGAGAATGGGGCGGGCTGATGGAAGGAGGGAGAATGGGGCGGGGTGATGGAAAGCGGGGGAATGGGGCGGGATGATGGGAAGCGGGAGAATGGGGCGGGGTGATGGAAAGCGGGAGAATGGGGCGGGGTGATGGAAAGCGGGAGAATGGGGTGGGGAGATGGAAAGCGGGAGAAAGGGGCGGGGTGATGGAAAGCGGGAGAATGAGGCGGGCTGATGGAAAGTGGGAGAATGGGGCGGGGTGATCAAAGGAGGGAGAATGGGGCGGGGTGATGAAAGGAGGGAGAATGGGGCGGGGTGATGGAAGGAGGGACAATGGGGCGGGGTGATGGAAAGCAGGAGAATGGGGCGGGGTGATGGAATGCGGGAGAATCGGGCGGGATGATGGAAAGCGGGAGAATCGGGCGGGGTGATGGAAAGCGGGAGAATGGGGTGGGGTGATGGAAAGCGGGAGAATGGGGCGGGGTGATGGAAAGAGAGAGGATGGGGTAGGGTGATGGAAGGAGGGAGAATGGGGCGGGGTGATGGAAGGAGGGAGAATGGGGCGGGGTGATGAAAAGTGGGACAATGGGGCGGGTTGATGGAAAGCGGGAGAATGGGGCGGGGTGACGGAAAGCGGGAGATTGGGGCGGGGTGATGGAAAGCGGGAGGATGGGGCGGGGTGATGGAAAGCGGGAGAATGGGATGGGGTGATGGAAAGCGGGAGAATGGGGCGGTGTGATGGAAAGCGGGAGAATGGGGCGGGGTGATGGAAAGCGGGAGAATGGGGCGGGGTGATGGAAAGCGGGAGAATGGGGCGGGGTGATGGAAAGCGGGAGAATGGGGCGGGGTGATGGAAAGTGGGAGAATGGGGCGGGGTGATGGAAAGCAGGAGAATAGGGCGGGGAAATGGAAAGTGGGAGAATGGGGCGGGGTGATGGAAAGCGGGAGAATGGGGCGGGATGATGGAAAGCGGGAGAATGGGGCGGGGAAATGGAAAGCGGGAGAATGGGGCGGGGTGATGGATTGCGGGAGAATGGGGCGCGGTGATGGAAGGAGGGAGAATGGGGCGGGGTGATGGAAGGAAGGAGCCTGGGGTGGGGTGATGGAAAGCGGGAGAATCGGGTGGGGTGATGGAAAGTGGGAGAATGGGGCGGGGTGATGGAAAGCGGGAGAATGGGGCGGGGTGATGGAAAGTGGGAGAATGGGGCGGGGTCATGGAAGGAGGGAGAATGGGGCCGGGTGATGGAAGGAGGGAGAATGGGGTGGGGTGATCGAAAGCGGGAGAATCGGGTGGGGTGATGGAAAGTGGGAGAATGGGGCGGGGTGATGGAAAGCGGGAGAATGGGGCGGGGTGATGGAAGGAGGGAGAATGGGGCGGGGTCATAGAAGGAGGGAGAATGGGGCCGGGTGATGGAAGGAGGGAGAATGGGGTGGGGTGATCGAAAGCGGGAGAATGGGGCGGGGTGATGGAAAGAGAGAGGATGGGGTAGGGTGATGGAAGGAGGGAGAATGGGGCGGGGTGATGGAAGGAGGGAGAATGGGGCGGGGTGATGAAAAGTGGGACAATGGGGCGGGTTGATGGAAAGCGGGAGAATGGGGCGGGGTGACGGAAAGCGGGAGATTGGGGCGGGGTGATGGAAAGCGGGAGGATGGGGCGGGGTGATGGAAAGCGGGAGAATGGGATGGGGTGATGGAAAGCGGGAGAATGGGGCGGTGTGATGGAAAGCGGGAGAATGGGGCGGGGTGATGGAAAGCGGGAGAATGGGGCGGGGTGATGGAAAGCGGGAGAATGGGGCGGGGTGATGGAAAGCGGGAGAATGGGGCGGGGTGATGGAAAGTGGGAGAATGGGGCGGGGTGATGGAAAGCAGGAGAATAGGGCGGGGAAATGGAAAGTGGGAGAATGGGGCGGGGTGATGGAAAGCGGGAGAACGGGGCGGGGTGATGGAAGGAGGGAGAATGGGGCGGGGTGATGGAAGGAAGGAGTGCGGGGTGATGGGAAGGAAAATGGGGCGGGGTGATGGAAGGAGGGAGAATGGGTCGGGGTGATGGAAAGCAGGAGAATGGGGCGGGGTGATGGAAAGCGGGAGAATGGGGCGAGGTGATGGAAAGCGGGAGAATGGGGCGGGGTGATGGAAGGAGGGAGAATGGGGCGGGGTGATGGAAAGCGGGAGAATAGAGAAGGGTGATGTTAGCGGGAGAATGGTGCGGGGTGATGGAAAGTGGGAGAATGGGGCGGGGTGATGGAAGGAGGGAGAATGGGGCGGGGTGATGGAAAGCGGGAGAATGGGGCGGTGGGATGGATAGCGGGAGAATGGGGCGGTGTGATGGAAAGCAGGAGAATGGGGCGGGGTGATGGAATGCGGGAGAATCGGGCGGGATGATGGAAAGCGGGAGAATCGGGCGGGGTGATGGAAAGCGGGAGAATGGGGTGGGGTGATGGAAAGCGGGAGAATGGGGCGGGGTGATGGAAAGAGAGAGGATGGGGTAGGGTGATGGAAGGAGGGAGAATGGGGCGGGGTGATGGAAGGAGGGAGAATGGGGCGGGGTGATGAAAAGTGGGACAATGGGGCGGGGTGACGGAAAGCGGGAGATTGGGGCGGGGTGATGGAAAGCGGGAGGATGGGGCGGGGTGATGGAAAGCGGGAGAATGGGATGGGGTGATGGAAAGCGGGAGAATGGGGCGGTGTGATGGAAAGCGGGAGAATGGGGCGGGGTGATGGAAAGCGGGAGAATGGGGCGGGGTGATGGAAAGCGGGAGAATGGGGCGGGGTGATGGAAAGCGGGAGAATGGGGCGGGGTGATGGAAAGTGGGAGAATGGGGCGGGGTGATGGAAAGCAGGAGAATAGGGCGGGGAAATGGAAAGTGGGAGAATGGGGCGGGGTGATGGAAAGCGGGAGAATGGGGCGGGATGATGGAAAGCGGGAGAATGGGGCGGGGAAATGGAAAGCGGGAGAATGGGGCGGGGTGATGGATTGCGGGAGAATGGGGCGCGGTGATGGAAGGAGGGAGAATGGGGCGGGGTGATGGAAGGAAGGAGCCTGGGGTGGGGTGATGGAAAGCGGGAGAATCGGGTGGGGTGATGGAAAGTGGGAGAATGGGGCGGGGTGATGGAAAGCGGGAGAATGGGGCGGGGTGATGGAAAGTGGGAGAATGGGGCGGGGTCATGGAAGGAGGGAGAATGGGGCCGGGTGATGGAAGGAGGGAGAATGGGGTGGGGTGATCGAAAGCGGGAGAATCGGGTGGGGTGATGGAAAGTGGGAGAATGGGGCGGGGTGATGGAAAGCGGGAGAATGGGGCGGGGTGATGGAAGGAGGGAGAATGGGGCGGGGTCATAGAAGGAGGGAGAATGGGGCCGGGTGATGGAAGGAGGGAGAATGGGGTGGGGTGATCGAAAGCGGGAGAATGGGGCGGGGTGATGGAAAGAGAGAGGATGGGGTAGGGTGATGGAAGGAGGGAGAATGGGGCGGGGTGATGGAAGGAGGGAGAATGGGGCGGGGTGATGAAAAGTGGGACAATGGGGCGGGTTGATGGAAAGCGGGAGAATGGGGCGGGGTGACGGAAAGCGGGAGATTGGGGCGGGGTGATGGAAAGCGGGAGGATGGGGCGGGGTGATGGAAAGCGGGAGAATGGGATGGGGTGATGGAAAGCGGGAGAATGGGGCGGTGTGATGGAAAGCGGGAGAATGGGGCGGGGTGATGGAAAGCGGGAGAATGGGGCGGGGTGATGGAAAGCGGGAGAATGGGGCGGGGTGATGGAAAGCGGGAGAATGGGGCGGGGTGATGGAAAGTGGGAGAATGGGGCGGGGTGATGGAAAGCAGGAGAATAGGGCGGGGAAATGGAAAGTGGGAGAATGGGGCGGGGTGATGGAAAGCGGGAGAACGGGGCGGGGTGATGGAAGGAGGGAGAATGGGGCGGGGTGATGGAAGGAAGGAGTGCGGGGTGATGGGAAGGAAAATGGGGCGGGGTGATGGAAGGAGGGAGAATGGGTCGGGGTGATGGAAAGCAGGAGAATGGGGCGGGGTGATGGAAAGCGGGAGAATGGGGCGAGGTGATGGAAAGCGGGAGAATGGGGCGGGGTGATGGAAGGAGGGAGAATGGGGCGGGGTGATGGAAAGCGGGAGAATAGAGAAGGGTGATGTTAGCGGGAGAATGGTGCGGGGTGATGGAAAGTGGGAGAATGGGGCGGGGTGATGGAAGGAGGGAGAATGGGGCGGGGTGATGGAAAGCGGGAGAATGGGGCGGTGGGATGGATAGCGGGAGAATGGGGCGGTGTGATGGAAAGCAGGAGAATGGGGCTGGGTGATGGAAAGCGTGAGAATGGGGCGGGGTGATGGAAAGCGGGAGAATGGGGCGGGGTGATGGAAAGCGGGAGAATGGGGCCGGGTGATGGAAAGCGGGAGAATGGGGTGGGCCGATGGAAAGCGGGAGAAGGGGGCGGGGTGATGGAAGGAGGGAGAATGGGGCGGGGTGATGGAAGGAGGGAGAATGGGGCAGGTGATGAAAGGAGGGAGAACGGGGCGGGGTTATGGAAAGCGGGAGAATGGGGCGGGGTGATGGAAAGCGGGAGAATGGGGCGGGGTGATGGAAGGAGGGAGAATGGGGCGGGGTGATGTAAAGCAGGAGATTGGGGCAGAGTGATGGAAAGCAGGAGAATGGGGCGGGGTGATGGAAAGCGGGAGATTGGGGCAGGGTGATGGAAAGCGGGAGAATGGGGCGGGGTGATGGAAAGCGGGAGAATGGGGCTGGGTGATGGAAAGCAGGAGAATGGGGCGGGGAGATGGAAAGCGGGAGAATGGGGCGGGGTGATGGAAGGAGGGAGAATGAGGCGGGGTGATGGAAGGAGGGAGAATGGGGCGGGGTGATGGAAAGCGGGAGAATGGGGCGGGGTGATGGAAAGCGGAAGAATGGGGCGGAGTGATGGAAAGCGGGAGAATTGGGCGGGGTGATGGAAAGCGGGAGAATGGGGGGGGGTGATGGAAAGCGGGAGAATGGGGCGGGGTGTTGGAAAGCGGGAGAATGGGGCGAGGTGATGGGAAGCGGGAGAATGGGGCGGGTGATGGAAAGCGGGAGAATGGGGCTGGGTGATGGAAGGAGGGAGAATGGGGAGGGGTGATGGAAAGCGGGGGAATGGGGTGGGATGATGGGAAGCGGGAGAATGGGGCGGGGTGATGGAAAGCGGGAGAATGGGGCAAGGTGATGGAAAGGGGGAGAATGGGGCGGGGTGATGGAAAGCGGGAGAATGGGGCGGGGTGATGGAAAGTGGGAGAATGGGGCGGGGTGATGGAAAGCAGGAGAATAGGGCGGGGAAATGGAAAGTGGGAGAATGGGGCGGGGTGATGGAAAGCGGGAGAACGGGGCGGGGTGATGGAAGGAGGGAGAATGGGGCGGGGTGATGGAAGGAAGGAGGGCGGGGTGATGGGAAGGAGAATGGGGCGGGGTGATGGAAGGAGGGGGAATGGGTCGGGGTGATGGAAAGCGGGAGAATGGGGCGGGGTGATGGAAAGCGGGAGAATGGGGCGGGTGATGGAAAGCAGGAGAATGGGGCGGGGTGATGGAAGGAGGGAGAATGGGGCGGGGTGATGGAAAGCGGGAGAATCGAGAAGGGTGATGTTAGCGGGAGAATGGGGCGGGGTGATGGAAAGTGGGAGAATGGGGCGGGGTGATGGAAGGAGGGAGAATGGGGCGGGGTGATGGAAAGCGGGAGAATGGGGCGGTGTGATGGAAAGCGGGAGAATGGGGCGGTGTGATGGAAAGCGGGAGAATGGGGCAGGGTGATGGAAAGCGGGAGAGTGGGGCGGGGTGATGGAAAGTGGGAGAATGGGGCGGGGTGATGGAAAGCGGGAGAATGGGGCGTGGTGATGGAAAGCGGGAGAATGGGGTGGGCCGATGGAAAGCGGGAGAATGGGGCGGGGTGATGGAAGGAGGGAGAATGGGGCGGTGTGATGGAAGGAGGGAGAATGGGGCGGGTGATGAAAGGAGGGAGAATGGGGCGGGGTTATGGAAAGCGGGAGAATGGGGCGGGGTGATGGAAAGCGGGAGAATGGGGCGGGGTGATGGAAGGAGGGAGAATGGGGCGGGGTGATGGAAAGCGGGAGATTGGGGCAGGGTGATGGAAAGCGGGAGAATGGGGCGGGGTGATGGAAAGCAGGAAAATGGGGCGGGGTGATGGAAATCGGGAGAATAGGGCTGGGTGATGGAAAGCAGGAGAATGGGGCGGGGTGATGGAAAGCGGGAGAATGGGGCGGGGTGATGGAAGGAGGGAGTATGAGGCGGGGTGATGGAAGGAGGGAGAATGGGGCGGGGTGATGGAAAGCGGGAGAATGGGGCGGGGTGATGGAAAGCGGGAGAATGGGGCGATGTGATGGAAAGCGGGAGAATGGGGCGGGGTGATGGAAAGCGGGAGAATGGGGCGGGGTGATGGAAAGCGGGAGAATGGGGCGGGGTGTTGGAAAGCGGGAGAATGGGGCGGGGTGATGAAAAGCGGGAGGATGGGTCAGGGTGATGGAAAGCCGGAGAACGGGGCGGGGTGATGGAAAGCGGGAGAATGGGGCGGGTGATGGAATGCGGGTGAATGGGGCGGGGTGATGGAAAGCGGTAGAATGGGGCGGGGTGATGGAAAGCAGAAGAATGGGGCGGGGTGATGGAAAGCAGGAGAATGGGGCGAGGTGATGGAAAGCGGGAGAATGGGGCGTGTGATGGAAAGCGGGAGAATGGGGCGGGGTGATGGAAGGAGGGAGAATGGGGAGGGGTGATGGAAAGCGGGGGAATGGGGCGGGATGATGGGAAGCGGGAGAATGGGGCGGGGTGATGGAAAGCGGGAGAATGGGGCGGGGTGATGGAAAGCGGGAGAATGGGGCGTGGTGATGGAAGGAGGTAGAATGAGGCGGGGTGATGGAAGGAGGGAGAATGGGGCAGGGTGATGGAAAGCGAGAGAATGGGGCGGGGTGATGGAAAGCGGGAGAATGGGGCGGGCTGATGGAAAGTGGGAGAATGGGGCGGGGTGATGGAAGGAGGGAGAATGCGGCGGGGTGATGGAAGGAGGGACAATGGGGCGGGTTGATGGAAAGTGGGAGAATGTGGCGGGGTGATGGAAAGCTGGAGAATGGGGCTGGGTGGTGGAAAGCGGGAGAATGGGGCGGGGTGATGGAAAGCGGGAGAATGGGGCGGGGTGATGGAAAGCGGGAGAATGGGGTAGGGTGATGGAAGGAGAGAGAATGGGGCGGATGATGGAAAGCGGAAAAATGGGGCGGGGTGATGGAAAGCGGGAGAATGGGGCAGGGTGATGGAAAGCGGGAGAATGGGGCGGGGTGATGGAAAGCGGGAGAATGGGGCGGGGTGATGGAAGGAGGTAGAATGAGGCGGGGTGATGGAAGGAGGGAGAATGGGGCAGGGTGATGGAAAGCGAGAGAATGGGGCAGGGTGATGGAAAGCGGGAGAATGGGGCGTAGTGATGGAAAGCGGGAGAATGGGGCGGGGTGATGGAAAGCGGGAGAATGGGGCGTGGTGATGGAAAGCGGGAGAATGGGGCGGGGTGATGGAAAGCGGGAGAATGGGGCGGGGTGATGGGAGAATGGGGCGGGGTGATGGAAAGCGGGAGAATGGGGCGGGGTGATAGAAAACGGGAGAATGGGGCGGGGTGATGGAAAGCGGGAGCATGGGGCGGGGTGATGGAAGGAGGTAGATTGAGGCGGGGTGATGGAAGGAGGGAGAATGGGGCGGGGTGATGGAAAGCGGGAGAATGGGGCGGGGTGATGGAAAGCGGGAGAATGGGGCGGGGTGATGGAAAGCGGGAGATTGGGGCGGGGTGATGGAAAGCGGGAGAATGGGGCGGGTGATGGAAAGCGGGAGAATGGGGCGGGGTGATGGAAAGCGGGAGAATGGGGCGGGGTGATGGAAAGCGGGAGAATGGGGCGGGGTGATGGAAAGCGGGAGAATGGGGCGGGGTGATGGAAAGCGGGAGAATGGGGCGGGGTGATGGAAAGTGGGAGAATGGGGCGGGGTGATGGAAAGCAGGAGAATAGGGCGGGGAAATGGAAAGTGGGAGAATGGGGCGGGGTGATGAAAAGCGGGAGAACGGGGCGGGGTGATGGAAGGAGGGAGAATGGGGCGGGGTGATGGAAGGAAGGAGGGCGGGGTGATGGGAAGGAAAATGGGGCAGGTTGATGGAAGGAGGGAGAATGGGTCGGGGTGATGGAAAGCGGGAGAATGGGGCGGGGTGATGGAAAGCGGGAGAATGGGGCGGGGTGATGGAAAACGGGAGAATGGGGCGGGGTGATGGAAGGAGGGAGAATGGGGCGGGGTGATGGAAAGCGGGAGAATAGAGAAGGGTGATGTTAGCGGGAGAATGGTGCGGGGTGATGGAAAGTGGGAGAATGGGGCGGGGTGATGGAAGGAGGGAGAATGGGGCGGGGTGATGGAAAGCGGGAGAATGGGGCGGTGTGATGGATAGCGGGAGAATGGGGCGGTGTGATGGAAAGCGGGAGAATGGGGCTGGGTGATGGAAAGCGGGAGAATGGGGCGGGGTGATGGAAAGCGGGAGAATGGGGCGGGGTGATGGAAAGCGGGAGAATGGGGCCGGGTGATGGAAAGCGGGAGAATGGGGTGGGCCGATGGAAAGCGGGAGAATGGGGCGGGATGATGGGAAGCGGGAGAATGGGGCGGGGTGATGGAAAGCGGGAGAATGGGGCGGGGTGATGGAAAGCGGGAGAATGGGGCGGGGTGATGGAAAGCGGGAGAATGGGGCGGGGTGATGGAAAGTGGGAGAATGGGGCGGGGTGATGGAAAGCAGGAGAATAGGGCGGGGAAATGGAAAGTGGGAGAATGGGGCGGGGTGATGGAAAGCGGGAGAACGGAGCGGGGTGATGGAAGGAGGGAGAATGGGGCGGGGTGATGGAAGGAAGGAGGGCGGGGTGATGGGAGGAGGGAGAATGGGTCGGGGTGATGGAAAGCGGGAGAATGGGGCGGGGTGATGGAAAGCGGGAGAATGGGGTGGGTGATGGAAAGCGGGAGAATGGGGCGGGGTGATGGAAGGAGGGAGAATGGGGCGGGGTGATGCAAAGCGGGAGAATCGAGAAGGGTGATGTTAGCGGGAGAATGGGGCGGGGTGATGGAAAGTGGGAGAATGGGGCGGGGTGATGGAAGGAGGGAGAATGGGGCGGGATGATGGAAAGCGGGAGAATGGGGCAGTGTGATGGAAAGCGGGAGAATGGGGCGGGGTGATGGAAAGCGGGAGAATGGGGCGGGGTGATGGAAAGCGGGAGAATGGGGCGGGGTGATGGAAAGCGGGAGAATGGGGCGGGGTGTTGGAAAGCGGGAGAATGGGGCGGGGTGATGAAAAGCGAGAGGATGGGTCGGGGTGATGGAAAGCCGGAGAACGGGGCGGGGTGATGGAAAGTGGGAGAATGGGGCGGGTGATGGAAAGCAGAAGAATGGGGCGGGGTGATGGAAAGCAGGAGAATGGGGCGAGGTGATGGAAAGCGGGAGAATGGGGCGAGTGATGGAAAGCGGGAGAATGGGGCGGGGTGATGGAAGGAGGGAGAATGGGGAGGGGTGATGGAAAGCGGGGGAATGGGGCGGGTGATGGAAAGCAGAAGAATGGGGCGGGGTGATGGAAAGCAGGAGAATGGGGCGAGGTGATGGAAAGCGGGAGAATGGGGCGAGTGATGGAAAGCGGGAGAATGGGGCGGGGTGATGGAAGGAGGGAGAATGGGGAGGGGTGATGGAAAGCGGGGGAATGGGGCGGGATGATGGGAAGCGGGAGAATGGGGCGGGGTGATGGAAAGCGGGAGAATGGGGTGGGCCGATGGAAAGCGGGAGAATGGGGCGGGATGATGGGAAGCGGGAGAATGGGGCGGGGTGATGGAAAGCGGGAGAATGGGGCGGGGTGATGGAAAGCGGGAGAATGGGGCGGGGTGATGGAAAGCGGGAGAATGGGGCGGGGTGATGGAAAGTGGGAGAATGGGGCGGGGTGATGGAAAGCAGGAGAATAGGGCGGGGAAATGGAAAGTGGGAGAATGGGGCGGGGTGATGGAAAGCGGGAGAACGGAGCGGGGTGATGGAAGGAGGGAGAATGGGGCGGGGTGATGGAAGGAAGGAGGGCGGGGTGATGGGAGGAGGGAGAATGGGTCGGGGTGATGGAAAGCGGGAGAATGGGGCGGGGTGATGGAAAGCGGGAGAATGGGGTGGGTGATGGAAAGCGGGAGAATGGGGCGGGGTGATGGAAGGAGGGAGAATGGGGCGGGGTGATGCAAAGCGGGAGAATCGAGAAGGGTGATGTTAGCGGGAGAATGGGGCGGGGTGATGGAAAGTGGGAGAATGGGGCGGGGTGATGGAAGGAGGGAGAATGGGGCGGGGTGATGGAAAGCGGGAGAATGGGGCGGTGTGATGGATAGCGGGAGAATGGGGCGGTGTGATGGAAAGCGGGAGAATGGGGCTGGGTGATGGAAAGCGGGAGAATGGGGCGGGGTGATGGAAAGCGGGAGAATGGGGCGGGGTGATGGAAAGCGGGAGAATGGGGCCGGGTGATGGAAAGCGGGAGAATGGGGTGGGCCGATGGAAAGCGGGAGAATGGGGCGGGATGATGGGAAGCGGGAGAATGGGGCGGGGTGATGGAAAGCGGGAGAATGGGGCGGGGTGATGGAAAGCGGGAGAATGGGGCGGGGTGATGGAAAGCGGGAGAATGGGGCGGGGTGATGGAAAGTGGGAGAATGGGGCGGGGTGATGGAAAGCAGGAGAATAGGGCGGGGAAATGGAAAGTGGGAGAATGGGGCGGGGTGATGGAAAGCGGGAGAACGGAGCGGGGTGATGGAAGGAGGGAGAATGGGGCGGGGTGATGGAAGGAAGGAGGGCGGGGTGATGGGAGGAGGGAGAATGGGTCGGGGTGATGGAAAGCGGGAGAATGGGGCGGGGTGATGGAAAGCGGGAGAATGGGGTGGGTGATGGAAAGCGGGAGAATGGGGCGGGGTGATGGAAGGAGGGAGAATGGGGCGGGGTGATGCAAAGCGGGAGAATCGAGAAGGGTGATGTTAGCGGGAGAATGGGGCGGGGTGATGGAAAGTGGGAGAATGGGGCGGGGTGATGGAAGGAGGGAGAATGGGGCGGGGTGATGGAAAGCGGGAGAATGGGGCGGTGTGATGGATAGCGGGAGAATGGGGCGGTGTGATGGAAAGCGGGAGAATGGGGCTGGGTGATGGAAAGCGGGAGAATGGGGCGGGGTGATGGAAAGCGGGAGAATGGGGCGGGGTGATGGAAAGCGGGAGAATGGGGCCGGGTGATGGAAAGCGGGAGAATGGGGTGGGCCGATGGAAAGCGGGAGAATGGGGCGGGATGATGGGAAGCGGGAGAATGGGGCGGGGTGATGGAAAGCGGGAGAATGGGGCGGGGTGATGGAAAGCGGGAGAATGGGGCGGGGTGATGGAAAGCGGGAGAATGGGGCGGGGTGATGGAAAGTGGGAGAATGGGGCGGGGTGATGGAAAGCAGGAGAATAGGGCGGGGAAATGGAAAGTGGGAGAATGGGGCGGGGTGATGGAAAGCGGGAGAACGGAGCGGGGTGATGGAAGGAGGGAGAATGGGGCGGGGTGATGGAAGGAAGGAGGGCGGGGTGATGGGAGGAGGGAGAATGGGTCGGGGTGATGGAAAGCGGGAGAATGGGGCGGGGTGATGGAAAGCGGGAGAATGGGGTGGATGATGGAAAGCGGGAGAATGGGGCGGGGTGATGGAAGGAGGGAGAATGGGGCGGGGTGATGCAATGCGGGAGAATCAAGAAGGGTGATGTTAGCGGGAGAATGGGGCGGGGTGATGGAAAGTGGGAGAATGGGGCGGGGTGATGGAAGGAGGGAGAATGGGGCGGGATGATGGAAAGCGGGAGAATGGGGCAGTGTGATGGAAAGCGGGAGAATGGGGCGGGGTGATGGAAAGCGGGAGAATGGGGCGGGGTGATGGAAAGCGGGAGAATGGGGCGGGGTGATGGAAAGCGGGAGAATGGGGCGGGGTGTTGGAAAGCGGGAGAATGGGGCGGGGTGATGAAAAGCGAGAGGATGGGTCGGGGTGATGGAAAGCCGGAGAACGGGGCGGGGTGATGGAAAGTGGGAGAATGGGGCGGGTGATGGAAAGCAGAAGAATGGGGCGGGGTGATGGAAAGCAGGAGAATGGGGCGAGGTGATGGAAAGCGGGAGAATGGGGCGAGTGATGGAAAGCGGGAGAATGGGGCGGGGTGATGGAAGGAGGGAGAATGGGGAGGGGTGATGGAAAGCGGGGGAATGGGGCGGGTGATGGAAAGCAGAAGAATGGGGCGGGGTGATGGAAAGCAGGAGAATGGGGCGAGGTGATGGAAAGCGGGAGAATGGGGCGAGTGATGGAAAGCGGGAGAATGGGGCGGGGTGATGGAAGGAGGGAGAATGGGGAGGGGTGATGGAAAGCGGGGGAATGGGGCGGGATGATGGGAAGCGGGAGAATGGGGCGGGGTGATGGAAAGCGGGAGAATGGGGCGGGGTGATGGAAAGCGGGAGAATGGGGCGGGGTGATGGAAGGAGGTAGAATGAGGCGGGGTGATGGAAGGAGGGAGAATGGGGCAGGGTGATGGAAAGCGAGAGAATGGGGCGGGGTGATGGAAAGCGGGAGAATGGGGCGGGCTGATGGAAAGTGGGAGAATGGGGCGGGGTGATCAAAGGAGGGAGAATGGGGCGGGGTGATGGAAGGAGGGAGAATGCGGCGGGGTGATGGAAGGAGGGACAATGGGGCGGGGTGATGGAAAGTGGGAGAATGTGGCGGGGTGATGGAAAGCTGGAGAATGGGGCTGGGTGGTGGAAAGCGGGAGAATGGGGCGGGGTGATGGAAAGCGGGAGAATGGGGCGGGGTGATGGAAAGCAGAAGAATGGGGCGGGGTGATGGAAAGCAGGAGAATGGGGCGAGGTGATGGAAAGCAGAAGAATGGGGCGGGGTGATGGAAAGCAGGAGAATGGGGCGAGGTGATGGAAAGCGGGAGAATGGGGCGAGTGATGGAAAGCGGGAGAATGGGGCGGGGTGATGGAAGGAGGGAGAATGGGGAGGGGTGATGGAAAGCGGGGGAATGGGGCGGGATGATGGGAAGCGGGAGAATGGGGCGGGGTGATGGAAAGCGGGAGAATGGGGCGGGGTGATGGAAAGCGGGAGAATGGGGCGGGGTGATGGAAGGAGGTAGAATGAGGCGGGGTGATGGAAGGAGGGAGAATGGGGCAGGGTGATGGAAAGCGAGAGAATGGGGCGGGGTGATGGAAAGCGGGAGAATGGGGCGGGCTGATGGAAAGTGGGAGAATGGGGCGGGGTGATCAAAGGAGGGAGAATGGGGCGGGGTGATGGAAGGAGGGAGAATGCGGCGGGGTGATGGAAGGAGGGACAATGGGGCGGGGTGATGGAAAGTGGGAGAATGTGGCGGGGTGATGGAAAGCTGGAGAATGGGGCTGGGTGGTGGAAAGCGGGAGAATGGGGCGGGGTGATGGAAAGCGGGAGAATGGGGCGGGGTGATGGAAAGCGGGAGAATGGGGCAGGGTGATGGAAGGAGAGAGAATGGGGCGGGGTGATGGAAAGCGGAAAAATGGGGCGGGGTGATGGAAAGCGGGAGAATGGGGCGGGGTGATGGAAAGCGGGAGAATGGGGCGGGGTGATGGAAAGCGGGAGAATGGGGCGGGGTGATGGATGGAGGTAGAATGAGGCGGGGTGATGGAAGGAGGGAGAATGGGGCAGGGTGATGGAAAGCGAGAGAATGGGGCGGGGTGATGGAAAGCGGGAGAATGGGGCGTAGTGATGGAAAGCGGGAGAATGGGGCGGGGTGATGGAAAGCGGGAGAATGGGGCGTGGTGATGGAAAGCGGGAGAATGGGGCGGGGTGATGGAAAGCGGGAGAATGGGGCGGGGTGATGGGAGAATGGGGCGGGGTGATGGAAAGCGGGAGAATGGGGCGGGGTGATGGAAAGCGGGAGCATGGGGCCGGGTGATGGAAGGAGGTAGATTGAGGCGGGGTGATGGAAGGAGGGAGAATGGGGCGGGGTGATGGAAAGCGGGAGAATGGGGCGGGGTGATGGAAAGCGGGAGAATGGGGCGGGGTGATGGAAAGCGGGAGAATGGGGCGGGGTGATGGAAAGCGGGAGAATGGGGCGGGGTGATGGAAAGCGGGAGAATGGGGCGGGGTGATGGAAAGCGGGAGAATGGGGCGGGGTGATGGAAAGCGGGAGAATGGGGAGGGGTGATGGAAAGCGGGAGAATGGGGCGGGGTGATGGAAAGCGGGAGAACGGGGTGGGGTGATGGAAAGCGGGAGAATGGGGCGGGGTGATGGAAGGAGGGAGAATGGTGCGGGGTTATGGAAAGCGGGAGAATGGGGCGGGGTGATGGAAAGCGGGAGAATGGGGCGGGGTGATGGAAGGAGGGAGAATGGGGCGGGGTGATGGAAAGCGGGAGATTGGGGCAGGGTGATGGAAAGCGTGAGAATGGGGCGGGGTGATGGAAGGAGGGAGAATGGGGCGGGTGATGGAAGGAGGGAGAATGGGCCGGGGTTATGGAAAGCGGGAGAATGGGGCGGGGTGATGGAAAGCGGGAGAATTGGGCGGGGTGATGGAAAGCGGGAGAATGGGGCGGGGTGATGGAAAGCGGGAGAATGGGGCGGGGTGTTGGAAAGCGGGAGAATGGGGCGAGGTGATGGAAAGCGGGAGAATGGGGCGGGTGATGGAAAGCGGGAGAATGGGGCAGGGTGATGGAAGGAGGGAGAATGGGGAGGGGTGATGGAAAGCGGGGGAATGGGGCGGGATGATGGGAAGCGGGAGAATGGGGCGGGGTGATGGAAAGCGGGAGAATGGGGCGGGGTGATGGAAAGCGGGAGAATGGGGCGGGGTGATGGAAAGCGGGAGAATGGGGCGGGGTGATGGAAAGTGGGAGAATGGGGCGGGGTGATGGAAAGCAGGAGAATAGGGCGGGGAAATGGAAAGTGGGAGAATGGGGCGGGGTGATGGAAAGCGGGAGAACGGGGCGGGGTGATGGAAGGAGGGAGAATGGGGCGGGGTGATGGAAGGAAGGAGGGCGGGGTGATGGGAAGGAGAATGGGGCGGGGTGATGGAAGGAGGGAGAATGGGTCGGGGTGATGGAAAGCGGGAGAATGGGGCGGGGTGATGGAAAGCGGGAGAATGGGGCGGGTGATGGAAAGCGGGAGAATGGGGCGGGGTGATGGAAGGAGGGAGAATGGGGCGGGGTGATGGAAAGCGGGAGAATCGAGAAGGGTGATGTTAGCGGGAGAATGGGGCGGGGTGATGGAAAGTGGGAGAATGGGGCGGGGTGATGGAAGGAGGGAGAATGGGGCGGGGTGATGGAAAGCGGGAGAATGGGGCGGTGTGATGGAAAGCGGGAGAATGGGGTGGTGTGATGGAAAGCGGGAGAATGGGGCAGGGTGATGGAAAGCGGGAGAATGGGGCGGGGTGATGGAAAGCGGGAGAATGGGGCGGGGTGATGGAAAGCGGGAGAATGGGGCGGGGTGATGGAAAGCGGGAGAATGGTGTGGGCCGATGGAAAGCGGGAGAATGGGGCGGGGTGATGGAAGGAGGGAGAATGGGGCGGGGTGATGGAAGGAGGGAGAATGGGGCGGGTGATGAAAGGAGGGAGAATGGGGCGGGGTTATGGAAAGCGGGAGAATGGGGCGGGGTGATGGAAAGCGGGAGAATGGGGCGGGGTGATGGAAGGAGGGAGAATGGGGCGGGGTGATGGAAAGCGGGAGATTGGGGCAGGGTGATAGAAAGCGGGAGAATGGGGCGGGGTGATGGAAAGCGGGAAAATGGGGCGGGGTGATGGAAAGCGGGAGAATGGGGCTGGGTGATGGAAAGCAGGAGAATGGGGCGGGGTGATGGAAAGCGGGAGAATGGGGCGGGGTGATGGAAGGAGGGAGAATGGGGTGGGGTGATGGAAAGCGGGAGAATGGGGCGGGGTGATGGAAAGCGGGAGAATGGGGCGGAGTGATGGAAAGCGGGAGAATGGGGCGGGGTGATGGAAAGCGGGAGAATGGGGCGGGGTGATGGAAAGCGGGAGAATGGGGCGGGGTGTTGGAAAGCGGGAGAATGGGGCGGGGTGATGAAAAGCGGGAGGATGGGTCGGGGTGATGGAAAGCCGGAGAACGGGGCGGGGTGATGGAAAGCGGGAGAATAGGGCGGGTGATGGAATGCGGGTGAATGGGGCGGGGTGATGGAAAGCGGGAGAATGGGGCGGGGTGATGGAAAGCAGAAGAATGGGGCGGGGTGATGGAAAGCAGGAGAATGGGGCGAGGTGATGGAAAGCGGGAGAATGGGGCGAGTGATGGAAAGCGGGAGAATGGGGCGGGGTGATGGAAGGAGGGAGAATGGGGAGGGGTGATGGAAAGCGGGGGAATGGGGCGGGATGATGGGAAGCGGGAGAATGGGGCGGGGTGATGGAAAGCGGGAGAATGGGGCGGGGTGATGGAAAGCGGGAGAATGGGGCGGGGTGATGGAAGGAGGTAGAATGAGGCGGGGTGATGGAAGGAGGGAGAATGGGGCAGGGTGATGGAAAGCGAGAGAATGGGGCGGGGTGATGGAAAGCGGGAGAATGGGGCGGGCTGATGGAAAGTGGGAGAATGGGGCGGGGTGATCAAAGGAGGGAGAATGGGGCGGGGTGATGGAAGGAGGTAGAATGCGGCGGGGTGATGGAAGGAGGGACAATGGGGCGGGGTGATGGAAAGTGGGAGAATGTGGCGGGGTGATGGAAAGCTGGAGAATGGGGCTGGGTGGTGGAAAGCGGGAGAATGGGGCGGGGTGATGGAAAGCGGGAGAATGGGGCGGGGTGATGGAAAGCGGGAGAATGGGGCAGGGTGATGGAAGGAGAGAGAATGGGGCGGGGTGATGGAAAGCGGAAAAATGGGGCGGGGTGATGGAAAGCGGGAGAATGGGGCGGGGTGATGGAAAGCGGGAGAATGGGGCGGGGTGATGGAAAGCGGGAGAATGGGGCGGGGTGATGGAAGGAGGTAGAATGAGGCAGGGTGATGGAAGGAGGGAGAATGGGGCAGGGTGATGGAAAGCGAGAGAATGGGGCGGGGTGATGGAAAGCGGGAGAATGGGGCGTAGTGATCGAAAGCGGGAGAATGGGGCGGGGTGATGGAAAGCGGGAGAATGGGGCGTGGTGATGGAAAGCGGGAGAATGGGGCGGGGTGATGGAAAGCGGGAGAATGGGGCGGGGTGATGGGAGAATGGGGCGGGGTGATCGAAAGCGGGAGAATGGGGCGGGGTGACCCTAGAGATAGGCGCCCTGCTTATGTCCGGTTACTGTGAGCTGCAGTTTGACATGGTATAGAGCGGACCGCAACGACACCGACAATCACCTCAGCGCTGTGAACACCGACATGGTACGCAGCGCAGCGCTGCTCACAGTGTAGCGCAGCGCAGCGCAGCGCTGCTCAAGCATGCGTCGGTGTCGTTGGTGTCGTTGCTCACAGTGTAGCGCATGCTGGAAAGCGGGAGAATGGGGCGGGGTGATGGAAAGCGGGAGAATGTGGCGGGGTGATGGAAAGCGGGAGAATGGGGCGGGGTGATGGAAAGCGGGAGAATGGGGCGGGGTGATGGAAAGCGGGAGAATGGGGCGGGGTGATGGAAAGCGGGAGAAAGGGGCGGGGTGATGGAAAGTGGGAGAATGGGGCGGGGTGATGGAAAGCAGGAGAATAGGGCGGGGAAATGGAAAGTGGGAGAATGGGGCGGGGTGATGGAAAGCGGGAGAATGGGGCGGGGTGATGGAAAGCGGGAGAATGGGGCGGGGTGTTGGAAAGCGGGAGAATGGGGCGGGGTGATAAAAAGCGGGAGGATGGGTCGGGGTGATGGAAAGCCGGAGAACGGGGCGGGGTGATGGAAAGCGGGAGAATGGGGCGGGTGATGGAATGCGGGTGAATGGGGCGGGGTGATGGAAAGCGGGAGAATGGGGCGGGGTGATGGAAAGCAGAAGAATGGGGCGGGGTGATGGAAAGCAGGAGAATGGGGCGAGGTGATGGAAAGCGGGAGAATGGGGCGAGTGATGGAAAGCGGGAGAATGGGGCGGGGTGATGGAAGGAGGGAGAATGGGGAGGGGTGATGGAAAGCGGGAGAATGGGGCGGGGTGATGGAAAGCGGGAGAATGGGGCGGGGTGATGGAAGGAGGTAGAATGAGGCGGGGTGATGGAAGGAGGGAGAATGGGGCAGGGTGATGGAAAGCGAGAGAATGGGGCGGGGTGATGGAAAGCGGGAGAATGGGGCGGGCTGATGGAAAGTGGGAGAATGGGGCGGGGTGATCAAAGGAGGGAGAATGGGGCGGGGTGATGGAAGGAGGTAGAATGCGGCGGGGTGATGGAAGGAGGGACAATGGGGCGGGGTGATGGAAAGTGGGAGAATGTGGCGGGGTGATGGAAAGCTGGAGAATGGGGCTGGGTGGTGGAAAGCGGGAGAATGGGGCGGGGTGATGGAAAGCGGGAGAATGGGGCGGGGTGATGGAAAGCGGGAGAATGGGGCAGGGTGATGGAAGGAGAGAGAATGGGGCGGGGTGATGGAAAGCGGAAAAATGGGGCGGGGTGATGGAAAGCGGGAGAATGGGGCGGGGTGATGGAAAGCGGGAGAATGGGGCGGGGTGATGGAAAGCGGGAGAATGGGGCGGGGTGATGGAAGGAGGTAGAATGAGGCAGGGTGATGGAAGGAGGGAGAATGGGGCAGGGTGATGGAAAGCGAGAGAATGGGGCGGGGTGATGGAAAGCGGGAGAATGGGGCGTAGTGATGGAAAGCGGGAGAATGGGGCGGGGTGATGGAAAGCGGGAGAATGGGGCGTGGTGATGGAAAGCGGGAGAATGGGGCGGGGTGATGGAAAGCGGGAGAATGGGGCGGGGTGATGGGAGAATGGGGCGGGGTGATGGAAAGCGGGAGAATGGGGCGGGGTGACCCTAGAGATAGGCGCCCTGCTTATGTCCGGTTACTGTGAGCTGCAGTTTGACATGGTATAGAGCGGACCGCAACGACACCGACGATCACCTCAGCGCTGTGAACACCGACATGGTACGCAGCGCAGCGCTGCTCACAGTGTAGCGCAGCGCAGCGCAGCGCTGCTCAAGCATGCGTCGGTGATCGTCGGTGTCGTTGCTCACAGTGTAGCGCAGCGCAGCGCAGCGCTGCTCAAGCATGCGTCCGGACACAAGCATGCGTCCGGACACAAGCATGCGTCCGGACACAAGCATGCGTCCGGACACAAGCATGCGTCCGGACACAAGCATGCGTCCGGACACAAGCATGCGTCCGGACACAAGCATGCGTCCGGACACAAGCATGCGACCGGACACAAGCATGCGACCGGGCACAAGCATGCGTCCAAACACAAGCATGCGTCTGGACACAAGCATGCGTCCGGACACAAGCATGCGTCCGGACACAAGCATGCGACCGGACTCAAGCATGCGACCGGACACAAGCATGCGTCCGGACACAAGCATGCGTCCGGACACAAGCATGCGTCCGGACACAAGCATGCGTCCGGACACAAGCATGCGACCGGACACAAGCATGCGTCCAGACACAAGCATGCGTCCGGACACAAGCATGCGTCCGGACACAAGAATGCGACCGGACACAAGCATGCGTCCGGACACAAGCATGCGTCCGGACACAAGCATGCGTCCGGACACAAGCATGCGTCCGGACACAAGCATGCGTCCGGACACAAGCATGCGTCCGTACACAAGCATGCGTCCGGACACAAGCATGCGTCCGGACACAAGCATGCGTCCGGACACAAGCATGCGTCCGGACACAAGCATGCGTCCGGACACAAGCATGCGTCCGTACACAAGCATGCGTCCATACACAAGCATGCGTCCGGACACAAGCATGCGACCGGACACAAGCATGCGACCGGGCACAAGCATGCGTCCAAACACAAGCATGCGTCCGGACACAAGCATGCGTCCGGACACAAGCATGCGTCCGGACACAAGCATGCGACCGGACTCAAGCATGCGACCGGACACAAACATGCGTCCGAACACAAGCATGCGTCCGGACACAAGCATGCGTCCGGACACAAGCATGCGTCCGGACACAAGCATGCGACCGGACACAAGCATGCGTCCGGACACAAGCATGCGTCCGGACACAAGCATGCGTCCGGACACAAGCATGCGTCCGGACACAAGCATGCGTCCGGACACAAGCATGCGTCCGGACACAAGCATGCGTCCGGATACAAGCATGCGTCCGAACACAAGCATGCGTCCGGACACAAGCATGCGACCGGACACAAGCATGCGACCGGGCACAAGCATGCGTCCAAACACAAGCATGCGTCCGGACACAAGCATGCGTCCGGACACAAGCATGCGTCCAGACACAAGCATGCGACCGGACTCAAGCATGCGACCGGACACAAGCATGCGTCCGGACACAAGCATGCGTCCGGACACAAGCATGCGTCCGGACACAAGCATGCGTCCGGACACAAGCATGCGACCGGACACAAGCATGCGTCCGGACACAAGCATGCGTCCGGACACAAGCATGCGTCCGCACACAAGCATGCGTCCGGACAAAAGCATGCGTCCGGACACAAGCATGCGTCCATACACAAGCATCCGTCCGGACACAAGCATGCGTCCGGACACAAGCATGCGTCCAGACACAAGCATGCGTCCGGACACAAGCATGCGTCCGGACACATGCATGCGTCCGGACACAAGCATGCGTCCTGACACAACCATGCGCCCGGACCCAAGCATGCGTCCGGACACAAGCATGCGTCCGGACACAAGCATGCGTCCGGACACAAGCATGCGTCCGGACACAAGCATGCCTCCTAACACAAGCATGCGTCCGGACACAAGCATGCGTCCGGACACAAGCATGCGTCCGGACACAAGCATGCGTCCGGACACAAGCATGCGACCAGACTCAAGCATGCGACCGGACACAAGCATGCGTCCGGACACAAGCATGCGACCGGACACAAGCATGCGACCGGACACAAGCATGCGTCCGGGCAAAAGCATGCGTCCGGACACAAGCATGCGTCCGGACACAAGCATGCAACCGGGCACAAGCATGCGTCCGGACACAAGCATGCGTCTGGACACAAGCATGCGTCGGACACAAGCATGCGTCCAGACACAAGCATGCGTTCGGGCACAAGCATGCGTCCGGACACAAGCATGCGTCCGGACACAAGCATGCGTCCGGACACAAGCATGCGTCCGGACACAAGCATGCGTCCGGACACAAGCATGCGTCCGGACACAAGCATGCGTCCGGACACAAGCATGCGTCCGGACACAAGCATGCGCCCGGACCCAAGCATGCGTCCGGACACAAGCATGCGTCCGGACACAAGCATGCGTCCGGACATAAGCATGCGTCCAAACACAAGCATGCGTCCGGACACAAGCATGACACAAGCATGCGTCCGGACACAAGCATGCGTCCGGACACAAGCATGCGTCCGGACACAAGCATGCGTCCGGACACAAGCATGCGTCCGGACACAAGCATGCGTCCGAACACAAGCATGCGTCCGGACACAAGCATGCGTCCGGACACAAGCATGCGTACGAACACAAGCATGCGTCCGGACACAAGCATGCATCCGGACACAAGCATGCGACCGGACACAAGCATGCGTCCGGACACAAGCATGCGACCGGGCACAAGCATGCGTCCGGACACAAGCATGCGTCCGGACACAAGCATGCGTCCGGACACAAGCATGCGTCCGGACACAAGCATGCGACCGGACTCAAGCATGCGACCGGACACAAGCATGCGTCGGGACACAAGCATGCGACCGGACACAAGCATGCGTCCAGACACAAGCATGCGTCCGGACACAAGCATGCGACCGGACACAAGCATGCGTCCGGACACAAGCATGCGTCCGGACACAAGCATGCGTCCGGACACAAGCATGCGTCCGGACACAAGCATGCGTCCGGACACAAGCATGCGTCCGGACACAAGCATGCGTCCGGACACAAGCATGCATCCGGACACAAGCATGCGTCCGAACACAAGCATGCGTCCGGACACAAGCATGCGTCCGGACACAAGCATGCGACCGGGCACAAGCATGCGTCCGAACACAAGCATGCGTCCGAACACAAGCATGCGTCCGGACACAAGCATGCGTCCGGACACAAGCATGCGTCAGGACACAAGCATGCGTCCGGACACAAGCATGCGTCCGGACACAAGCATGCGTCCGGACACAAGCATGCGACCGGACACAAGCATGCGTCCGGACACAAGCATGCGTCCGGACACAAGCATGCGTCCGGACACAAGCATGCGTCCAGACACAAGCATGCGTCGGACACAAGCATGGCGTCCGGACACAAGCATGCGTCCGGACACAAGCATGCGTCCGGACACAAGCATGCGTCCGAACACAAGCATGCGTCCGGACACAAGCATGCGTCGACACAAGCATGCGTCCGGACACAAGCATGCGTCCGGACACAAGCATGCGACCGGACACAAGCATGCGTCCGGACACAAGCATGCGACCGGGCACAAGCATGCGTCCGGACACAAGCATGCGTCCGGACACAAGCATGCTTCCAGACACAAGCATGCGTCCAGACACAAGCATGCGTCCGTACACAAGCATGCGTCCGGACACAAGCATGCGTCCGGACACAAGCATGCGTCCGTACACAAGCATGCGTCCGGACACAAGCATGCGTCCGGACACAAGCATGCGTCCGGACACAAGCATGCGTCCGGACACAAGCATGCGTCCGGACACAAGCATGCGACCGGACTCAAGCATGCGTCCGGACACAAGCATGCGACCGGACACAAGCATGCGACCGGACACAAGCATGCGTCCGGGCACAAGCATGCGTCCGGACACAAGCATGCGTCCGGACACAAGCATGCGACCGGACACAAGCATGCGTCCGGACACAAGCATGCGTCCGGACACAAGCATGCGTCCGCACACAAGCATGCGTCCGGACAAAAGCATGCGTCCGGACACAAGCATGCGTCCATACACAAGCATCCGTCCGGACACAAGCATGCGTCCGGACACAAGCATGCGTCCAGACACAAGCATGCGTCCGGACACAAGCATGCGTCCGGACACATGCATGCGTCCGGACACAAGCATGCGTCCTGACACAACCATGCGCCCGGACCCAAGCATGCGTCCGGACACAAGCATGCGTCCGGACACAAGCATGCGTCCGGACACAAGCATGCGTCCGGACACAAGCATGCCTCCTAACACAAGCATGCGTCCGGACACAAGCATGCGTCCGGACACAAGCATGCGTCCGGACACAAGCATGCGTCCGGACACAAGCATGCGACCAGACTCAAGCATGCGACCGGACACAAGCATGCGTCCGGACACAAGCATGCGACCGGACACAAGCATGCGACCGGACACAAGCATGCGTCCGGGCAAAAGCATGCGTCCGGACACAAGCATGCGTCCGGACACAAGCATGCAACCGGGCACAAGCATGCGTCCGGACACAAGCATGCGTCTGGACACAAGCATGCGTCGGACACAAGCATGCGTCCAGACACAAGCATGCGTTCGGGCACAAGCATGCGTCCGGACACAAGCATGCGTCCGGACACAAGCATGCGTCCGGACACAAGCATGCGTCCGGACACAAGCATGCGTCCGGACACAAGCATGCGTCCGGACACAAGCATGCGTCCGGACACAAGCATGCGTCCGGACACAAGCATGCGCCCGGACCCAAGCATGCGTCCGGACACAAGCATGCGTCCGGACACAAGCATGCGTCCGGACATAAGCATGCGTCCAAACACAAGCATGCGTCCGGACACAAGCATGACACAAGCATGCGTCCGGACACAAGCATGCGTCCGGACACAAGCATGCGTCCGGACACAAGCATGCGTCCGGACACAAGCATGCGTCCGGACACAAGCATGCGTCCGAACACAAGCATGCGTCCGGACACAAGCATGCGTCCGGACACAAGCATGCGTACAAACACAAGCATGCGTCCGGACACAAGCATGCATCCGGACACAA